CAAATGTACAACGTTTCGACAAGGTTTTGTCATCATCAGGTACAAAACCTTGTCGAAACGTTGTACATTTGCTGTTATGTTAAACTTATATTAAAGTTTTTCTTCATTACCCATTCAAGCCGTCTCCAGCCATTATTAGTCTCAAAGTAGGTTCCTCGTCATCGAATTTAAATACCTTGAGTTACTTAACATCACTTCTGGACAGCTTTGGTTTTCTACCTCGACCACTTCTAATTATTGACAGTGTTAATTTTAAGTGTTACGTTTTTTTTTTTAAATACGGAAAGTCTATTTTGCACTTTCTGAACGCCTCTGTTTTTGAAAATTTCGTGTATTTGACACTGTTTACAACATAATTTTCGACACTAAGTACGTAGATATTATTTTCACCTTTTTTCATACTTTATTAGTTTAGTGAACAACAACTAGTTAATGCAGCCCTAAGAGTTAGAAAATATAGATTTACTTTAAGTCGTGATTTATAGGATATTACAATTTTAATAGCTTTAAAAGAAAAATATCGTAAGCTATTATACCAATTGCTACATGTAAAAAAATATATTTTATCTCTTTTTAGCATTTGTTATAGTAAGTTTAAGACTACAACCGGTTCTGCTCCAGACTACTTTTATGGTTAACACTAGACACCTTCATTTTGTATATTCTATCCGTGAGTTAAGCTATATCCTTATATAGGCAGATAGACTTTGTCTGGTTTACTGATCTCGTAAATAAACATACTTTTTTTTAAATGTTTTTAATTAATATTACAAAGTGCCTTTCTCCAAAGGTTATAATCTTACTCATAACAAATTATATAAAATATGCATTTATATTCCACTTTGAATATTGTGACTTCTTTAATATATTTGAGTGAAAATATTTTGAGTGCTATTCAATAAAATTTGCTATAAAATATCCATGATTTTGTTGTTGTTTTAGCCCTGAGTAAGTTTCTGCTTAATTATCGGCTTACCTTGATTTCGTGGTGTCCGAATAAAAGACGAAAATGACGACAATGGAGCTATAAAAAAAGAAAAAAATGTATTGCAGTAAATATGTAAGTAGGACTCATTGGATTCGGTGTTTCATCTTAGTTGTCAGATTATTCTATATAACTTTCTATTCATAAGAGGTTATTTATTTTCAGGTAATATTTATATTTAATTATTATTAATGAAATTATCAAAATGTTCTAGTTTATGTTTTGCAAGTTTTTCTTCAGTCACTCCCCCCCCCCTTTTTGTGGTTCTCCGATGGGACAGCGGTGAGTTTACGGACTTACAAAGCTAAAATTCGGGGTTCGATATCCCGAAATGGACACAGCAGATAGCCCAATGTGGCTTTGCTCTACAGTCCTTTATGTGTTACTGTAACAAGTATACTGTACTTTACCTGCTTCATTTTTCCATCACAAGCTGTCTAATTATAACAGAAATAAAACTGT